GTATCTGAATCCAAACTGTCATATAATCCAGTTTAATGTGGATTTTATACAGCTGTGTGGAAGGGGCCTTAAAGATCTCTTTCTGACTTGTAAAGAGAGGTAGTATACAAAAGGTTGCTTTCCTTTCCCTTGAACCTTTCTCCCACTGTGCTAAAAATACAAAATATCTCATATTCCATAAGCCCTGGCAGCCCTGATCTTGATCATTTTCATCTGAAGGTGGGTGAGAGATTTCTAGAAAGCAGAAAAGAAAGAAAAAGCCCTCTTCTTTCTTTTCATTCCTAAAAAAAGTGTGTTCAAACCATATAGCCTGCAACCTACAACCCTAATGTTTTATATGAAACTGTTTCAATATTTAGAATTCTTGGAAAGCCTTCCTGTAGTTTATAAACCACAGTTTTGTGCTTTCAGAATCCAACTGTGTTGCCAACTTTGATGCCAAGAACACTTAAAGCTAACTCACTTGTTTCAGTCCTTGCTATTGACCTGATATAGTGAGATGAATGGAGAAAAAACAATTACTTTGCCCAGAAATTCCATTAGGTGGAAGAGATGTGGCTATTTCGATCAATATTCAGTAGATCCAAACTGGAAAAAATGGGAGTCATCTTCTAAGGCGATAAATACTCATTAACCCCTAGAAGACTTTGCAAAGAAAGCAAGATATTGAGCCAAAGTTTCACTGCTTGAGAACTACAGCGTTGCATTTAATTTTTTCAGGTAACAGACAAAACGCTTGTCTTATTCCATCATAATAGTAATAAGGCAGCATAGTTAAATCAGGAAGTTATGAATTTACAGCAGTTCTATCAAGTAGTGGAAAACTGTGTTGGTATTTTTTTATATATATCTATATTTCTCTCTCACTTTTTCTCCCGCTCTTCAATGGCTTTGCTCTATTTTGGGCGTTTTAGCAGGCAGAAAGGTGTATCTGACCACAAGTAACTCAACCATTTTTCCTGTAGTCTGTAGCTACTAGTGTTAGTTAAGGTGGGTAGAGATGGTTTTAATAAAAGAAGTGTAGGAAGATGGATCTGGAAAAAAGAGAGCCAAAAATCAAAAAAAGGCAAAGAACTAGGAGGCATAGGAAATAAATACAGGTATACCTCAGTTAAGTAGAAGTGAAATGAAACTTTTTAAAAATCAGATAAACCTTATATAAATAAACTAAAACATTTTGAACTTTCTAAAGACCATTGTAAAGCTTATTCCAAAATGCAGCCAATATATTGTCTTTATTTCACTAGCCTCCATTTGTCCTATGATTTCAATGTTGATCTGTGTTTTGTTTTTGTTTTGTTTTTTACATGCCAGGGATAGCTTGTGAGGAAAGCTGATCTGCTCCAACTTTTTCGTTCTGTTTTGCTCTTTACATATAATCAGTAAAGTGCAGCTGCTGTTTACCTTGACTGCTGTAGGCAAACAAACCCAGCTACAGTAAAACCACCTAGAGAAGAATCTCATTCTTTCCCAGTTTAACATCATTGTGTGGTTTATTACAGACACATTGCTGTAACCCAGTACAAAAATATGTTTTTCTAGTCTTCCTTTCATATCCTCCCACTGTTACCGCTGCTTAAAAAATGCAAGTTAGACAAAGGACAAAGAGAAAAGACCGGGTTGGGATCATGTAAAAGAGAAAATGCTTGTATTCAAGAAATGCAAGATGGCAGATCAGACCATAGGACTATGAAGAAGACAAGGCTATAAAGACGAGATGAGGCAGGGAATGGTGAGAAATAACAGACAGAAAAAGTGCATGTTCTTCTTCGCCTCATATGTGAGGACAATCAGTGAGAAGAGTTGGCTGACAAAATAAAATGCTTCAAACTGAGGACAAACTATGAAGATACATGTTTTCATGCCCCAAGTGTAAGCTTTGAGGAAATAGTTGACTGGCCATTATTGGCAATACTGTGTTGGAATACCTTAGAAAATATATGTATATTTTGGGAAACAATTACAAAAAATCCTCCCTTGATTCAGATACTTATAGTCCACAGGAGTAACTTTTCCAGATTCTGAACTAGATGGCACGTATTTTGCATTTTATTTCCCAGATATTCAATACGTCTGCAGTGATTGCTATTGCTTTAGACACAGAAGCACAATTCTGCTCCCTAAACCCACACAAAAGGCACACCGCTCTCAGTTCTCACTTTCACCATATGCAGGTAACTCTCCACATATTACAAAAAGAATATTGGTTACTTTTGGAACAGAGTAAAATCCCATCTACTTACTCGGTAACATCCATCAGATTCAGAGAAAGCAACAATTCTTTCAGGAAGGTAATTGCTGACAGTAAGCAGGGCTTGGTCAAGCTTCAATTCATTTTCTAATTGCACAAAAAGAAAAGGTTTCTAAACAGAAAGCACTTACAAAGATTTTTTTTTTTACACAATGTCCCTGATGTTAGCCAATTCTTTCTTCAGGGCAACCTTCAGAGTCTGTGGTGTACATTGATGATCTGGGAAGTGGAAGGCCAGGTTCAAGTCCTAACTAAACCTTGAAATTTCTGGGTGATTTTGGACCACTCTTTGTTGAACTTACCTCATCATTTCTTCTGATGACAAAGTCGGGAGAAGAATCAATGGAAGAAAAGAGTTGTAACTAATTTGTAGGAAGGGCACCATCGTGGAATATCAGTTGGAAGTGTTGGAATAGAACTCTGGGAGGCTCTTTTTGATTTGAATCCCCACTAAGACATGGAAGTCTACTGGGCATCACCTCAGTTTACTAGGAGTACGCTCTCAACCTTACAGGAAAGTGATGCCAAGCTTTCCACCCCCACTCCCAATTAATCATGCCAGGAAAACCCTATAAGGGCACCATAAGTCACAGATTACTTGAAGGCACATGAAAACAAATCCATAGTGAAAGCAACTTGAAGAGTTAAAACAGCAACTTCCATATATTGTTGGTGACATTTTTTTTAATCCTTTACTATTACGTATGCTAGCAAAGGAAGCAGCAGCCCTATAAGATCTGGATTTTGAATTTGAATTCCGTTTGTGGCAAATGGAGTATTTCTAGAAATCCAACTGTGTCCCTGTCTGTCACATCTTAGATAGCCACTTAGTAAAATCAAGTGATGCCCAATGTGATTGGACGTCCAATGAGAACCTCAGAGCAGAAGTTCACCAAAAAACTGAGTCTTTTACCTTCAGGTAGGATAGTCATAATTATTATTATTAATTGCTGTTAAATTGTCATTGGCATATGCCAACCTCTTTGAGTGAGTATGTAAATATGTTTTAATATGTGTATTTTACATTGTTTAAAATGATTGTGTGTTTTGATTGTGTGTTTTAAGAATGTTGTAACCCACCTCAAGCCATGAGGAGGGGAAGGTAAGAAATAAAATTATTATTATTATTATTATTATTAGTAGTAGTAGTATTGAAAGACGTCCACAGCATCCTGATGAAGCAGAAGACATCTTATATCAACAAATTCTGTCTGAAATATTTCATCTCATGTAGGCAATCAGATATAATACTTGTGTTACAGTCTTAATATTTCTATATTTCAACTTTTCTTTTCTAGGTGTGAATGTTTCAACTGGCCACCTTGATTAGCATTTGATGGCCTGACAGTTCTTTGGTGTGACTTGTTACTGCCTGAGGGAATCCTTTGTTGAGAGGCGATTAGCTGTCCCTGATTGTCAGGCCAYCAAATGCTAATCAAGGCCGCCAATTGAAACATTCACACCTAGCTCCARCAGACAAGAGTTCTTTCTCCCACMCTAGACTTTCCACAGATATATAAACCCAATTTTTCTAGTTTCCAACAGACCTCAATACCTCTGAGGATGCCTGCCATAGATGCAGGTGAAATGTCAGGAGAGGATACTTCTAGAACATGGCCATAGAGGCTGAAAAACCTACAACAATCCAGTGATTCYGTCCATGAAAGCCTTCGACAACACATTGCACATGTTCTCTTACCTGCTCTGCTGCTTTGGACAAAATTAATTCCCACAAGGAGCAAAAAGACACCATTTGCTTTTAGTTCCATTTCCTTCTGAAGACTGTTACCAATAAACTTCTATAGATTTCAGTACGTAACGATCAAAGGTCATACACACTTAATTAATCTTTTTCCTTTTATGTGAGATAAACAACCAGGAACCTGGACTTTAGATCTCAGCTGGCTACTTGTCACTCCTCTTAGCTTATGAATAGAATCATAGAATCATAGAGTTGGAAGAGACCTCGTGGGCCATCCAGTCCAACCCCCTGCCAAGAAGCAGTAAAATTGTATTCAAAGCACCCCAGATAGATGGCCATCCAGCCTCTGTTTAAAAGCTTCCAAAGAAGGAGCCTCCACCACACTCCGGGGCAGAGAGTTCCACTGCTGAACAGCTCTCACAGCTAGGAAGTTCTTTCTAATGTTCAGGTGGAATCTCCTTTCCGGTAGTCTGAAGCCATTGTTCCATGTCCTTGTCTCCAGAATAGCAAAAAAAAGCTTGTTCCCTCCTCCCTATGACTTCCCCTCACATATTTATGCATGGCCACCATGTCTCCGTCTTCCCTTCTGCTGGCTAAGTAAACCAGTACTATCTCAGGATAGAATCATATTTTGTAAGAACTAAAGGTCAGATTCTTTAATCTCTTTGACAACTAACCACTATTGCTGGGGACAAGTAAGTAATAGAATAATGACCCAAATAAACTGAGATGGTTAAACTATATCAGAAGTAGGCTCTGTGGTCCCCTCCAATTATTCTGGAGTACAATCAGCAATACGAATAGCACCCTCATACCACATATTACAAAAAAGGAAGAATAAGCCTGACATATATTTTAATGTGTAAACATAAACAACCATTTATAGGCCAACTCAGTTTAATCCTGGGGATATTCTTGAAGCTTTCAAGGGACTGAGTTACTCATTAAAGCCACATACACACAGCATATACAAATATATTTCTCTTTCAGTGCTGGCAAGTAAAATTGTTCCAATACTAAAGTATAAATAAATCCCATTCAACAATATAATGTAAAATATTTTAATGAGCCAAATGTTTGAACTTGAATTCCTCTCTGCATATTGTGGTGAACACTGCAAATAATAATATATATCTCTTATTTGTTTTGAAATGTCATCTTGGTTTCCTTTCATTTCCTCCAAGGCAAGTTCTATGGAGTTCAGAACTTTATTGCAATATTTTAGGTTCCAGGATCTTCCCAACAAACACATCACAATAAAAAGTTTTCCCATTTCCTGAAGACGGCAGGAAAAAGCTCACTTCTCTTGTTCTGCATTTCCCTTCAGGCTTGACTTTTGCCTCTTCCGATCTTTCTGTCCAATTATGCGGAACAGTTTCTTCTTTGCTTCCTTCTGCCTCTTAATCTTCGCTTCCTCCTCTTTCTGTTTCACTTTCAGACGTTCATTAAGATCCTGACGGTGTTTTAGCTTGACTTTCTTCAACTTGTCACTGTGTACTGTACTCAACGCAGACAGAAGTGCTGCAATCTAAACAAAAACAAAATGTTGTGTGAGAAAGTAATGTACCTACATAGTGACAAAACTGAAAAACATCACAAAATTGTCAGGATCTGATGACTACAGACAAAAAGAAGAATTAGGTACTTCAATGCAAGTTTGTTTTTTTTTTTGTCGTGTCAGGAGCGACTTGAGAAACTTCAAGTCACTTCTGGTGTGAGAGAATTGGCCGTCTGCAAGGATGTTGCCCAGGGGACGCCCAGATGATTTGATGTTTTTATCATCCTTGTGGGAGGCTTCTCTCATGTCCCCGCATGAGGAGCTGGAGCTGATAGAGGGAGCTCATCCACCTCTCCCCGGATTCGAACCTGTGACCTGTCGGTCTTCAGTCCTGCCGGCACAGGGGTTTAACCCACTGCGCCACCGGGGGCTCCGGCTTCAATGCAAGTTGAATCCACCTAAACTGTTGTACATTGCTTCAACATATACCACTAGAATGGGACTTAAGGTTTATACAGAAAATGAAAAACCAATAATAATTTTGGCCTATAATTGGAGAATTTTCCAGCCAGAATGGCCAGGAGTCTAGGAACTGGAATCCATAAAACAATTTTCCCAAGCTCTGATTTTATATGATGTTTGCTATACCATTGTTAGGAGAAAAGTGAAATTATAAACATGCAGAAAACAAAAAAAAATGAATTACTTGAGACTAAAATATGCAGGTATAACAGAAATATACCAGTGTATGATATAATCAACATTTCGGTGAATTGCAGTCCTTAAAATCATTTCAGTTCAACTAACAGAAATACATAGTAAATGCCAAATTACAAGCTAGCCTGCAGAAATGTAATTGAGCAGTGCCAATAATGAACTTCTAAGAGTTATTTTAAGAAAAAGACACAGCGTACAGAAAACAACTTACCTTCTTCTCATGAGGTTCCCTGATAACAGCAGGTCTCCACTTGTCCCTTGTGACTTTTCTTTTTCCTTCTTGCATCTTAGGTTTGCTCTTAAATGGTAGGGCCTTCTGAAGAGCTTTGGGGATATGCAGCTTATTGAAATGTTTCTTCTCCCGCACAATATGCTAGAAAGAAAGAATGGAAATTGAAGAGTCATGTTTCTAATTTTTTCCAAAACTATCTATGCATGCAATGGATAGAAATTATGTTACCCAAAGATTCTTTCTAAGATGAAATGTTCTATTAGCTGACAATTATTTTATTTATTTATTTATTTATTTATTTATTTATTTATTTAAACCTTTTATATCCCAATCTCAGACCACTCCACAACACAATCAATGCTGAAATTCCCTCTTTTGCTGATGTTGAGTACTGCTGAGCTAAATATCAATGTTATACAACCTTAACACAAACACAGGACTCTTCACCCCACAGAAAACCATACCTTATACAAGGAGTCCTTGTTTTGTTTCAGTCTGATGCCTTTCTCATGCCTTAACTGGCCTGTGGTCTTCATTCCTGCCCAAGTGTGTTTTTCACCCACAGGTTTTAGCAAAGAAGTCACTGGATTATAGAATGCTGGAGTGGATACAGGGTACCAGGTTCTCATGAAGACAATATCTAAAAAGAGAATGACAGGTTTTGTTTTTTTAAAAAAAAAGGCTTTTCTCCTTCATTATTTAATTATTTAAATTATTTTTAAATTGGTTTTAAATCACTGTGTTGGGATGTGCAATATTTTCAGGCCTTAGATATAATGATTTTTGTTATACAGTGAAATTTTGACTTATAAACGAATCAACGTATGAATTTTTTGAGATACAAGCTGCCGCACAGTCAATTGTTTGCTTTGACATGTGAGCCGAGATTTGAGTTACAAGCGAGAGCCAGCATACGCCACATGCCATCGTAAACAGGGCTTTAAGGGAACAGCCAGGAAAGCTCCTTGCTCTTGTCCTTGCTGTTATTTCTGCAATCCTAGGACTTTTGGAAAATTATAGGAAAGCTGAGGGGCCAGCAGACTAACGTCAGTAAACTTCTGTCCTGATTAAAATAGATACTTCTCATTCTAATTGATCATTGCAGAACAATGTTAGTGAAGTATTCCACTCAAAGCAGGAAAACGAAACTTATGTTATTGACTTAGAACCTTCCTGCTCCTCCAATACTGAGACAGCTTCCGTTCCTTTCTGTTTGCTTTACTTCCCGACATTTGCCTCACTCATTTTAGAAACATTTTGAAAGGGAGGAAGAAATAAACCTCCTTGGACAGGTTTTTATTAAAATGCCGTGCAAATGAAATTGAGGAAATGTGAGGGGAAAGCAAATGTGAAGAAACGAGAAGATTAAGTGAAACCTGCAGAAGATACATACTCTACACTTAATAAATCCAGTTTATTTCTTTACATTTTTTTATTATGCATTATTATTTTATACAATATATGTTATTTATAATGTACATTTTTCTTATTTAAAAACAGGTAACAAAAATTGGTGTGCTTTTTGGGAGGCTGGAACGGATTAATAGCATTTCAATTAATTTCAATGGGAAATTTAATTTGACATAAGAGCAATTTGAGTTAAGAGCTTGGTCACAGAACAAATTAAACTTGCAAGTCAAGGTATCACTGTATTTTGTTATAGGAATGGCTTTGAGTGGGTATTGCCTAGAAAAAGTACACAGAAACACAAAAGGCAAAATTTAAGAAACAGTAATTCATTTTTACTAGTAAACCAGAGATTAAACCAACTTTTTAGAAAAGATACAGACACATCCATAAATGGTAATATGTATCGAGATACAACGTATCTCATAAAAACCTTTCTTTTCTATATATGTTTTTAAAATGATTAAAAGATATTAACATACACTTCTAAGATTTTTGTAATTTCTTATTACATTTGCGTGACACATCTACACACTGCGGCAAACACACTAATGTGTCACGACACAAGAGTTTGGAAAGCTCTGCTCTACATGAAATGAGTCAAAATACAGCTTCTCTCAGAAAACAGTGAGGTATCGATTCAATTAATACTGTTCCAAGAGTACAAATCAGCCTGAAAGAAGTCACATGAATCAATAATCCATTAGATATACTATGCACAAGCAGTAGATGCAACTTACCACTCATTAGCAGCTTATCTTCAAATGTCGCTCTGAATGCACCCTCCGGTGTCCGCACGGCCTTTTTAATCTGACCACGGATACCACTCACAGTACGAATTGCCGCTCCTTCAAACTTTGCCACTTCCAGTACAGAGTTAAACATCCCCTATGTAATACACAACAAAACAATGGAGAAATTAAGGAATTTTCAATTTTCACACACCTTAACATATTCCTAGATTTATTTGTGAAGATCAAAATACAGATAACAATCACCACAAAGTCTTCAAAATTTCCAAGCACTATAGCTGCTGGTCAAGATCCAAACAACAATCTTAGATTTGGAGGGCCACAGCCAGTCAAATTTTATCTGTTTCAGAGACCTGTCCGTTTAAAGAAACACACATCTAAGACTTTCTTGAGTGAGCAGAATTTGAATGTATTTGTGAATTCTCATCCCACTTCCTAATCAAACACTGGACAGCAGTGATGTGGCTGGAAAGCAATCCACTGCTTATATTTACTTTCTTTATATATGTGTGTGTATGTATCATAAAATTCATTAATAACAATTAATACAATTAGTAAAAAAGCTTGGCAGTTTCAGAGTCAAGCAAAACAATACATACACAAAATAATCCAAGACAATGGTGAATTATGGATTCACATTTTTGTTGTGAAAGTCAAATCAACAACCAAACTGAAACTTTTGATTTTTTTTTCACTTTACTTTCCACAAACATATGAGAGAACATTTTGTTTCACTTATTGAGCATGAGGTGCTGGAATAATTATCAGCTCACATTGTTTTAATGTTGTACAATTAATATACTTTACAACAGCTTTGTAAGCAAGCCAAAATTATTATTCCCATTCTATGTATGGTTAAACTTATGAATCTACAAAATTATAAACCTTGGTAGAACTGCCTTGACATATTAGCCTAGGCATTCAAACATATGGATTTTTACAAAATTCTCAGTACCAAACCCAGAAAATTTGGAGTTCAATGAGAAAGAACAGCTGCTAAATGCTGTAGACCAATCCTGAATATTTTGAACAGATATGCTAGCTTCAAAGCCTTTCACAAACATTGTGGCATATTGCCAATAGCTCATTTAGAATTGTAACATCTAAAAAAAAATTCCAAACTGAAATTATCACACAGATTACCTATCACACATCTACACAAACATTACTTCTAGAATACAAACCTTGATAAATGCTGTATTCTTGTAAATTTTGAATGGGAAGCCCGTTAACTTTAATTTCTTCACAACTTTAATGGATTTATCTAAGTCAAGAACAACTCCAGTGGCAGCTATCCGAAAATCAGGCTGAAATACATCAAAGTACAGACAGGTTTACTGTGTGTGTGTGTACATATATATATTATATAAACTTATTATCAAATATTATCAAACTTATTATTATCAAATATTATCAAATACTATCAAAACTAAGCAAAATCTGAAAATCTTACATATAAAGTGTGTCTTTTACTTTCAGCTTAGTCAGGCTAGGATCAGGAGCTTACAAGTACTGACTTTGTGTGTACTGTGCAGGGATTCATATTATGCTTTAAAGAAATGGTTCTGAACGTGTGGGTCCTCAGAAGTTGTTGTTATGTAACTCTTACAACCTCCTACTACTAGCCATATTGGTAAGGATATCAAGGAGCTAAAGTTCAGCAACATCTGTAGACCCAAAGTTGGATACCATCTTTTTCTTTAGCTTACCAGTCCAGTTTTAAACCATGCCCCAACCAGAATTTTCTGCGCAATGCACAAACTGCTAAAATATAAATCACAATAGTAAAACAAAATCATGACTAAAAACAGTAGACTATAACATCAAAATGAAATGGGTTGCAGAGAATGGAAAGAAGTAAGAACTGCCACATACATACTGGTAGAGATGTAAGAGCCACCACTTGCATCCTGAACCCAATCCCTTCTTGGCTCTGAAGAACAGCCAAAGGAAGTTCTGTTTTGCCTAAAAGAGGCTGTGATGAGACCATTATTGGAAAATCCGCCCTGGACTTATCCACACTGGGAAGCTATCAGCCAGTCTCCAAAATCCTTTTTTGGTGACAAGGTTCCACTGTGTGGTGGCCTACTATCTTCTGGGTTCCTGGATGAAACAGATTATCCATCAAGACCAATTTCAACCTACCCTTAAACCTAACCCATGTCAGAAACAGCTTTGGGTTCCTTTGCAGACCCAAAAGTGAGACTGTATCCCTAATGGTTCTGCTGGAGGATGTAAGTTTTAAAGGCCATTTTAAGTGTATTTATGGTATTTTAATCTGTTTTTACCACACTGTTATGATTTGTTTTTTTAGCTTCTGCATTTCACTTTTTAAACCTGACTAAGTATGGGAATGTTAGGTGCCTTGAAGGAGCCCCTGGTGGCACAATGGGTTAAACCCTTGTGCCAGCTGAACTGCTGACCGAAAAGCTGACGGTTTGAATCCAGGGAGTGGGTTGAGCTCCCATTTGTAGCTCCAGTTTCCCATGTGGGGACATGAGAGAAGCCTCCCCACACGGCGGTAAAACATCTGGGCATCCCCTGAGCAGCGTCCTTGCAATTCTCTCACACCAGAAGCGACTTCCAGTTTCTCAAGTCGCTCCTGACACAAAAAAGTCACCTTGAATTCCCACATTATTATTCATGATAATAGTAATATTTTAAAATCCCCCATTATGATTACTATTATTATTAATAATAATTTATCAGCAGCTTTCAATATCATGGATAATGGTATCCTGCTTGACCACTTCTCTGGGATGGAACTTGGGGTTCTATAGTAATTCTAATTGTGGGTTGTTGTAGGTTTTTCCAGGCTATATGGCCATGTTCTGGAGGCAATTTTTCTCCTGACATTTCACCTGCATCTATGGGAAGCATCCTCAGAGGTAGTAAGGTCTAATTGTTATAGGAGTGAAATCACAAGGTGGTGCCAAGGGATGACTGTTTTGACAGCTTGGTCAATGGAATATGGTGTCTCTCAGGCTTGATTCTCTCCCCCATACTGTTTAATATTTACATCAAACTACGGGGAAAGGTTATCTAGAGTTTTAGGATTGTCACCATTACATGGATGACACCCAATTGTATCTTTCCTTCTGTACTGTAATTGATTAGATGAGGATAACTAAACATTGAAACTTTAATCCAGACAAGACAGAGGTGCTCTCGATCAATTGCAAAGTACATCTGGAAACAGGAATTCCACCTGTGGTCTATGCAATTATGCTCCCCTTGAAACTTCAGACTTACAAGGTACTTGTATCCTTTACCCTGGAATTGAATCTGCATTCCCAGGTTTTGAGTGTGGTCAGGAGTGTAGCTGCTATGTTTTGGACAAATTGGTTTCCAGTCCTTTTTCCAAGACAACTTTAAAGTATGCAGCGTTGAGAATCTTTCTCATTGTTCATACTGGTTGAGCACTAAGACACATAGCATCAGAAATCCCTATTTCTTCTTCTCTGACTAAAGTGATGGGAGCCAGTATTTAAAAAACCTGAAACACACCAGGTTGAGGAAAACTGTCTACAGTGACGTACTTACTGTTGCACCACTCACTGACTGGATTGCCAAACATCCTGTCCCTTGTGGTGTGATAGGACCTAAGGAGCAAAGATTGGTTAAAGTCAGCTTACATTTTGCTGAAAAGAATGTAGAAAGTAAACAAATGACAGCATTCTCCTTTTAAAAACAATATAAAGAATTTATCAAATAGTTGCATAAATAAACATCAAGGGGGATGTAATTCAAAGGTTTAAAAATACACAAATTTCTTTGATGAGGTGTCAACATAGTACAAGTTCAGGAAACTCTTTTCCTAAAAGTAATGCCGGTTTTTGTTTTGGAATGGGGAGAGCCTTTATATAACTTAGAAGGAAGAGATCTCATGTGTATACAGTTTGCCTGGCACCACTTTAAAAATATTTGCCAGCACTGTATTCCTCTTCAGTATTGCAGAATTATCTTGGGGGAGGGGGGGGTGCAGCAACTCTGATTGTTATAGCCTTGCTAATGTTATAGCCTTGGTAATGTAGGGGCAACGAAACCAAAATATTTCCCAAAAGGCAGAAGCCCCCTTTCCAGTAGGGAGGGCAAGGATGGACACCACGAAAGTTGAATCCTTTAAACTGCAAAAAAACTATTTATTATTGCGTGGCCATAGCAATAACGACAAACAAGCATACAGGGATGCAATCAAAGGGTTTGTCGCAACCCCCAATGGGGCTGCAGAGCATTTATAGTAAATGGAATATACATTTTCATTGGTTCCCAAAGACAAATCATTTCATTGGTCTAAGCTAGCTATGCAGTTGTTCATTAGTTGTTTATGATTTTGATTGACATTATAGCACACGTGGGATCCTAACAATGGCACAACTATAACATAACTATGGTCCATTGTTCTCTGACCATGACTGTATCTTATCTGTTAGTCTGTTGCAAACATGGCTTCAGAGCGACTGGGAAACTTGGGGGTTCTAACTAGCCAACAGCTAGCTGGATTTGACCGGATATGTTGCTATCCTTGAATAGTAACTTCTACTTTGGAGCACTGATTTTTCAAACAATCAGCATTTTCTGTGAACATAGGCGTACTGCAGAAATAGGCCAATATGGCAGTAAATCATGATATATGGGCATTGGGGAAATATCTGAAAATTACCTTTTTAAAACCACGTCTCCTCCAGTAAAACTGCATCCTTGAAAAACTGCAACTCCTTGAGGACTTGCAGTTTCTCAAGGCGCTCCTGACACACAAAAAGCCCAAAGATAACAAATCAATAATATAAACTAGCCTGTCAATAAATGCTTGGTGACAGAACAGTCTTGCCTCCTCACAGAGAACCTGACAGCTTTCACATCTTTCCCAGCTCTACAATTTGTACCAATACTTCTCTCATTTTACACAGTACTCCGTAGCTATTCAATGTCAGGAATGGGGGCCTCTTATTCTTCACATATTATGGATTGGAACTACTATAATCCCTATGTCTGGGGGTTATGTAACTTGATGTTCAAAACAACTGTGGAAAAAAGTTCTCCAGTCCTGCTTACAAATAATTTCATAAGAGATTCCTGATACTTTTATTGAAGCGAGAAAATGGTAGGCATTTGCTCTTACCCCAAAAGATGGTCCCACAATGCATATGCTGTGGCGTATACTTAAGTAGCCTGTGACGCCCATTATGATCTTCTATGTAATACATAGGGATGGTCTGAAACCGCCTCCAGCCTAATGAGAATATCAGGGGATCACGAGTCTTGAGTATTTTCTTATGCCAACGATGCTTCTTCAGGCGCATCTGAGGAAAACCAAGAAGCCGTGTGTCTTCATCCCAGCAAAAGTAAACCTCACAATTAACAATGGTCATTATAGCAATCCCTACATCTGCAGTATATAAAAGTATCAATGAAATATTGGAGGTTTGCTAGCCACTGGCTCAAAATTAATAATGTAAAATGAAATATGACTGTGAACTCGGCTAGAACCTATAATGTCGCCAAGTTCTGCACAACAGCGATTAAAATCCGGCAAGTGATGACTAATAGCACCAGTTAGCACAAGTCAAGATTTCAGACTAGCAGAAAATTGGGATTATAGTCTTGGAAGTCCCTGAACAGACTCAGAAGTGGACTGGGAAGAACAAAAGACAACCTGGAAAAATGGCACTACTTAAAAGAATCCCACACCTTGTGTGACTGTGGAGCAGAACAGACAACTCCACATCTGTATGCTTGTCCACTATGCCCTGCCTCATGTACATAGGAAGAATTGTTGGAGGCTACAGACAATGCCATTGCTGTTGCCCGCCTTTTGTCAACATATTTAGCAACCTGCGCTCCTTCTATTTTTATTGGTTTTATACTAATTTATGCAATGCTTTTTATACGAAATAAATAAAGTCTTTTAATTATTGTCTTTTAATTATAGTATGGATGTTGTTCCTCCCTCTGTCTGACTGGACTTCCCTTCCCTGTACCACATGAGCACTCTAATCCCCTCTCTTCAGACTTCCTTCCTTCTAAATCCATTAATTGTGTTGGGTTTTGATATACTCCTGTATATATCTTTTGACTTAGGTTCTTGGGTTAATTGTCTTGATGTCATGGCAATGATGCACTTATTTTGAAGTTTTAAAGTTTTAAATCTCTCGACCTTTAGACCTGATGTATTTGTGTGGGACTGTGTCTCTCTTCTCATGAGCTGGTCACTGACCGTAATAAAGCGATGGTAGAAGACCCAAGTGCTGTTAATAAATCATTATCATTTCCCTAAAAGCAACAGCGTGGACATTAATTCTGTGGGGTTCTTTTGGTTCTCAACCTGTGGGTCCCCAGATGTTTTGGACTTCAACTCCAAGAAATCCTAACAGCTGATAAACTGCCTGGGATTTCTAGGAGTTGTAGGCTAAACACCTGGGAACCCACAGATGGAGAACCACTGATCTAAAAGAAGGCATCCAGCATCCTCCAAGCTGACAGATAGTTAAGAAACATTAATGCAAAAGATACCTCAAAAGCTGTTTGCGTGCGACATCACAGGTTGCCCCCTCCCACAGCAGTAAGTGACAACAACAGCTCCCAATATGTGTGAATCTAATATATAAACCTGTTTAGGATAAATCAATTGATTCAACCACTAATGAATCAATCAATGCTTGTATAAATTCCACTGAATCAATGGATCTAGTTTAGTAGGTACTAGTAATGATATCCAGCCTACTATTTTGTAAAATCTTGCAGAAGAACGAGCTAAGAATTTGCATGGTATTTTAATAGATATATTCCAACGCATGTTTGGAAGGATCATATTTAGTCAAGGCATATCACATACACTCATTTGAGCGCTTTAATATCAAATACACAGTACGGACAGGGAATTTGCATATGTGGAAATGTTATGCATAAGAGGACTTGTGCCATATTTTGGCAAACAGCACAGTTTGCATACCTGAACATATCCCACATTTCCTTCTGTGTTTCCCAAACCTCCCAGGATAAGTGGATAGTGTGGGTCAAAATTCAGGACCAGTTCACAAGGGACATTCTCAAGTTCTATCCGGATATACATTCCTGGCCGAAAGCCCTCATACTGAACTCTGGTTTCATCATCTTGATCTTCAAATTCAGACCTATTAAGCTGTGTGACAGAAACAGAAAGAGAGAGAAAAGAAAGTTCAGAACAAGGAGTTGCAGCAATCATCCCACAGTTGTGTTGCAGAGATGAAGGTAATGGCAAGAATAATGGGGTTCCTCTCCCTCTTGCCAAAATCCAATGGGGGATTAACATGTTGAGCGGCACTGTGGACTACTCTTCCCACAATTCTAGCAATGATCCGGGACAGATGGCATATTAAAAGAAAATGATTAGGCACGCCAAAAGTTTCACCCCTAGAGAATTTTGCAACATTCGGCCAAGTGGGAGATGCAAGACTAGGAATTCGATATTCATAGTCAAGCAATATATATCAGAACAAGTGGAAGAACTGCTAACAAGAAGCAAAGTCCCACCATTACTTATCCTCCACAAGCATTGCAAATGTTTTTAAAATGATGTACGCTAGCATTATGTTTCTCCTAGCACGTATTAAATCACAAGAAGGAAAAGTTCACATTCCTCTCTCAAAGAGATTTCAAACCATGACATAATGGCTGTTAAGGATGAGACACAGTAAGTCAGCCTTTAATCCCGATTGGATTACTGCAACGCACTCTACGTGGGGTTGCCTTTGAAGACTGCTCAGAAACTCCAACTAGTCCAGCGGGAGGCAGCCAGATTGCTCACCGGAGGGGCATACAGGGAGCATACCACCCCCCTGTTGTGTCAGCTCCACTGGCTGCCGATCCAATTCCGAGCACAATTCAAAGTGCTGGTTTTGACCTACAAAACCCTATACGGTTCCGGCCCAGTGTATCTGTCCGAACGGATCTCCCTCTATGTCCCACCTCGGAGTTTAAGATCTTCTGGGGAGGCCCTGCTCTCGACCCCGCCTCTATCACAAGTGAGGCTGGCGGGGACGAGGAGCAGGGCCTTCTCGGCGGTGGCCCCCACCTGTGGAACTCACTCCCCGGGGAGATTAGATCAGCAACTTCCCTTTTTTCATTCAGAAGAAAACTGAAGACCTGGATGTGGGACCAGGCTTTTGGACAGTCTGGCAGCTAAAGAAAAGACCTTGATGATGGGCAGGAATTGACGGAACGGAATGGATCTATGGAACTCTGAACACTGAGCATGAGATTGTTTACTATTACGTTATGTGCTGATGTTTTTAACCTGTTAACTGTTTAACTGCTTTTATGTATGTATGTATATTTGATATAGGCATCAAATTTGTGCCTTCCCTTGTAAGCCGCCCTGAGTCCCCCCTCGGGGGTGAGAAGGGCGGGGTAGAAGTAACTGAAATAAAATAATAAATAAATAAATAAAAAAGACATTAGAAATTATATTCAAACTAGAGATTTTATAATACTCTCTCAAGCATGATGTTCATACCTGAGCCTGTTTCTGCATCTCCCCTTTCAGGTCATCAAAGTAGGTGGCATCCCCCTCATCATATTCAGCATCAAACATTTCTTTCAGTTTACGTTTCTTGTCCATGCGTTTTTTCTTTTCCTCTTCTTCCCCAACGGTTTTTGCATCTTCATCTGCATTGTCTTCTTTTTCTTCTGCATTTTCTTCCTAAGGGAAAGATAAAAGTTTTTCTTATCTCTGACATTCTGTCTAAAGGGATTCAAGCAGTTAGTAGCTAATATAAGAACATGCCTTGAAAGTGAGTGAGGATTTTATAATTCCAGAAGTGACAAACCATGGTTTGTGTGATGGTTCTGCATAGTGTTAATGAAATTTCTGTAATGTAGTACCACAGTCTATCCAATGAAAGGCAGTTCGTCCAAAAGGGAATAGGCATAGACAGAAATGGAGCCATGTGTTTAGCAACAGAGAATTAATTGTAAATACTGAAGCATCTAAATAAATAAAAATGTAATGTTCGTTTGTGGGATTAACAGAACTCGAAAACCACTGGACGAATTGACACCAAATTTGGACACAATACACCTATCAGGCCAATGAGTTACAATCACTCATAAAAACACTGAAAAACACAGCAGAGACTTTAAAAAATACATTACAATTCATGCGCAAAACCACACACACACACACACACACACACACATATGTGTGTGTGTGTGTCTGTGTGTGTGTATATATTATACACAAACACACATATACAAAAATATATACACACAAAGCACGTATACAAAGACTAGGCCACAGCAATGCGTGGCAGAGGACGGCTAGTTTACATATAAATTATATATTCCACACACACATCTTTAAATCTTTGTCAAAAGATTAAGCCCTGACAATCATATATGTATTTTCCTCAAACCTCATCTCCTTGATCTTCTGGTTTTCCTTTGTGTATCGTTCCAGTTTCAAGATCTTCAAAATCACCGTATAACTCTTCTGTTAAAAGCAGAAACAGGAACATCATCAATATTTTTCAACTTAAGTCTTCCTTATAAAGTCACCTGATATATCACCAAAAAAGCTTTGGATCATGCATGCTTATTAATGCATTCTCTTTTGAGCTTAAATGCCTATCTTCCCCATGTGTTTCTATTTTGGATCTCTTCATAAGGAAGGAAACCTATTAGAAAGCAGTATATGGATCATAGAATCATAGAGTTGGAAGAGACCTCATGGGTCATCCATTCCAACCCCCTGCCAAGAAGCAGGAAAATTGCATTCAAAGCACCCCCGACAGATGGCCATCCAGCCTCTGTTTAAAAGCCTCCAAAGAAGGAGCCTCCACCACACTCTGAGGCAGAGAGTTCCACTGCTGAACAGCTCTCACAGTCAGAAAGTTCTTCCTAATGTTCAGGTGGAATCTCCTTTTTGTAGTTTGAAGCCATTGTTCAAGTCTCCAGGGCAGCAGAAAACAAGCTTGCTCCCTCTTCCCTATGATTTACTTAGACTGGCTATGTACCCTTCCTTTTAGGCTAAGAGTAAGTTATGATAATATATAAATAAGAAACAATACATCATTTTTTAAAAAAACTTTTGTCTAATGCCAACTACTTAACAGAGGTTATATGAAACCTTTTTCCCAAAGACCTCTAAATCCCCATTCCCCATAAAAACAAGGAGGAATACACTCTCACTCAAATCTGTCAGCAGAAGAATCAGTTACCCAAGAGATGATTCCTTCTTAACTAGAAACAAAATCAAACTAAAATATTTTCCAACCTACTGCTTCTCTCCCAAAAATGCAGCTTTGAACAAATCATCCCTATAACTCCCGCAATTGTTTCTAAATGAGGAATTGATCTCTTTCTCTTTCCTTAACTTATATTTCCATGAGCCTTTACTTCATTCATGATATACTCAAAACAATTTCAGGATTTGTAATCTTCTTTTTCCTTTCTACATAACATTTACTAGCTATTTCTAGTTCATTGTATTTCTTTCTTCAAAATAGCTTAACAGCTAAATACTCAGTTACAATATTACAAAACAAGAACTTTGAACTGCAGCTATCAGAGCAAACTAGCTAACCAGCAACAAAAAGTTTCTAATTTACCATCTTCTTTCAGTAGTTTGGCTGCATCTTTATCAGCTTCCCAATTTCCAGTCACAAAACAGTCTCTGATACTGTTCATAACCTGCCAAAGATTAGAGTATCAACTTTTTAGATAAAAAGGAAAAAGGAGGTGCAGGGGCACCTTTAAAACAAACTGAATTATATTCTGTATTTTAAAGTCTCAAATACACATTTTATATATAAGTAAATGTAAAGGTTTCCCCTTGACATTAAGTCTAGTTGTGTCTGACTCTGAAGGATGGTGCTCATCTCCATTTCTAAGCCAAAGAGCTGGCGTTGTCTGTAGACACCTCCAAGGTCATGTGGCTGGCACGATTGCATGGAGCGCCGTTACCTTCCTGCTGGAGCAGTACCTATTGATCTACTCAGATTTGCATGTTTTTGAACTGATAGCCAAAATAAAAAAAAAAATAGCTGCATTTTTTTTCAACAAGGAAGGGTTTACCGGTTTGGTAAGATTGACTCAGTTGAACACCTAAATGAGGGCTTTGTTATTGTATCATCTCATGCCTGAATAAGGTATTGTCTTCTTTTATTCATTTAGAAAAAGGCAATCTCTATCTTAAATGCCTCCAACCTATCAGAGTGTAGTTCAATTACAACTGCTCTCCTCTTTAAAATATGCAATATGTTTGTATAGCAAATCCCAAAGCACCTGCATCCTGGAACAGCTTTGTTTATTTATTTGCTTAAACTCAGTTGGCTCACAAGAGGACTACACCGACAGTACATCATTCTAAGAGCATTGTAAGCAAAATATTTTTAGTAGAAGCACCTCATCTAAGTCCCAATCTTGTGGGGCTTCAACATGAAATTTGGAGCAATCGAGGGCATCGGCTTTTCGCTTTGATTCTGTGTCGGGGCGGCTGACGTGGAACAATCCTCCAAGTTCTTCATTTTCTTCTTCATTTCCCTCATCTTCAGCCACTGAATAAGAACAAGAAACTTTAGTTCATACAAATTTTGTGTGCTTCAGTTTTTTTCTGAAAATGCATTGCCTGACTTACCAGGCGATGCCCGTTGCGGCGGAGGGTGCTCTCTGTTGGTCGCAGGGAGCTTCTTCTTCCCAAAAGCCCCCTGCACGGGGGAAGTTTTTCCTGTCGGTTGGCTGGCTGGCCAACCAGCAGCCAGTCCTGCACAACCAGCTGATTGGCCAGGGCAGGCCTCCTCCCTCCGTCCAGCAGCACTTATAGGGCTGCCCTGCACACGTGCAGGCACTGTGCCTGGTTCAAGTTGCCATCCCACCCTCCCTGCATGCTCATTTGGTTTGGTTATTGTTAACAGTGGTTGGTTTTTGTTATCCCGTCACAACTCTCCTTGACATGTGGCATGGGTCCTAGATCTGGTTTTCTTCCCCCACCCAGTGCATTGGGGGGAACGTCCGGTGGTCCCCAGGGGTGCAGAGTTATCTCAGCCTGGTATTGTGCCGGTGGCACCCTGACATGTTTAGCGGTATCGGTCAGCAGTGGGCTGACCTATCTTGATCCAGAACCCATGCCTGGCTGCCAACCTTTTCAGTTCCTGTAATCAATAAATGAGTTGTGGCCATTTTCTTCCCATCTCAGTGTGTATGTGTCTTTTCTGGTTGCTGGCGGGAGGCGTGTCGCACATCCACACGCAACAGTCATTCACTGTCATCTGTTATCCCATGCTATTAAAGCTATTATATAATAGACATATGCCTAAGAAATCATGATCCACAACACTATCCACAAAACCAGTACCAGAGCTGGAAACACCCTCCAACAATCATGGCCCTCACACCACAGACTCTAAGAGCTGCAGACCCAAAAGTAACTTTTCCAAGTTTTGCCCTTGTATTCGAGTCTAGAAAGTAAAGGTGCCTTTCAGGAGACAACCCTGTTTAAGATGTAGCAGCCATCAACATTTTTTGGCTGTGACAAATGAGAATCCATGTGATCCGTCAAAGTAGCTTCCCTATGCTGTGTAAACAAATGGTTCTCTTTTCTTTCAAGTTGCCCATGTATTATGGGCAAACTAGTATTTAAACTACAGTCAGCATTCTGACTAGCAAAAGCATTAGTAGTAAGTACAGAATTTTGCCTGCTCCTACTCTTTTTCTCTCCCTCCTTCCCCAGGCCATACTGCTAGCCCATTTGTCTTCTCTGGCAAATATAAAGAAGAGTATTTTTACCTGTGCCATAAACAAGCTTACGGAGATTGGGAGTTGTCTGTTGCTGCCTCAGAAAAGCCTCAGCAGCCTTTCGAGTAAGGTCTTCTTTCCATTTAAGTGCACCTGGAAGAAGAAAATATTGTTTCCTTATCTGTATTAGAGGAGGCCCCGGTGGCACAACAGGTTAAACCACTGAGCTGCTGAACTTGTTGACCAAAAGGTCAGCGGTTTGAATCCGGGGAGCAGGGTGAGCTCCTGTTGTTAGCCCCAGCTTCTGCCAACCTAGCAGTTCGAAAATGTGCAAATGTGAGATCAATAGGTACTGCTTCAGCAGGAAGGTAATGGCGCTCCATGCGGTCATACTGGCTACATGACCTTGGAGGCATCTACAGACAACGCTGGCTCTTCGGCTTAGAAAGGGAGATGTGCACCACCCTCCAGAGTTGGACACAACTAAACTTAATGTCAAGTGGAAACTTTTACCTTTACCTTTATATGTATTAGAGTGATGAATTAAGGAAAACTGCCAACTACATGTAAATACAGTATCAGACATACAAATGAAGATATGGGTATGTACCATCTGTGTCTGCAGAAAGGTCAGGTGCCTCTTTGTATTCCTCATCCTCTTTCAAAAGGTCTTCAACATCATCATTATAATTTACAGCCCCAAGTTCACGCCTTTCAGCACTTTCTGTTTGGAAGTCGCCACTATCAGATTCTTCAGTGTCAGAATCATCTACTGGTTCTTCTTCCTCTTCCAAGGAAGAATCTTCTGATTCAGATGCTGATGCTTCTTCAGTGGTCCCATTTCCAGAATCTGTAGTAGAAGCTATTGTTTTACCTAGGATTTTACTATTTTTTAACCGTCTGTCTTTTTTGTTGCAACGCATTGGTTTATTAAGTAAATCTGTATTTCTGGATGCAGTTTCAAAATCCATTATCTCCTCTTCAACATGTTGTGGTTCCGCTCCATCTGTTTCTCCTCTCTCCCCATCAAGGCCCTCCTCCTCTCCTTCTTCCTCTTCACTTGAACTCATCTCAAGATCATCATCACTATCAGCAAAGGCTGGCAGTTCTGTTAGAGTTGCTTCTTTGGTTTCTTCTTTAAGATGTCTAGAAGGTGACAAAATCAAATGTTGCTCTGACAAATCTTCATCATGTTCTTCTCCCTCGTCATTGTCACCATCACTCCCATCTTCATCCTCATCCTCAGACATGTCTTCATCTTCCTCATCACTCCCCGCATCTTCATTTTTTTCATCTTTGAACACTGCCCTCCGCCGTACCCTCCCAGAATGTGGGTCAAGTTTTTTTTCTTCTTCAGGCATTGAAAAAATCCTTTCAAAATAAGGAGAAAAAAGCAGAATCAAATGTGAAGACAAGTTTCACAAACTACCCTATATACTTGAGTATAAGCAGACTTAAATATAACCCGAGGCTCCTAATTTTACATCAAAAAACTGAGAAAACGTATTGACTTGAGTATAAGCCAAGGTTGGGAAATGCAGCAGCTACTGGTAAATTTCCAAATAAAAATAGATACCAATACAATTACATAAATTGAGGCATCAGTAGGTTAAATGTTTTTGATTATTGACATAATACTGTAATTTATGATAAGATTGTCCAACTCATTATTCTAACATTCTTCAATGTAAATGGCCTTACATATTCTTCCAATAATAATAAAGATAGTAAACGTAATAAAAATAATAATAATAAATAGAGTAAAATAACAAAAGTAACAAAAACAATAATAGAGTAAAATAATGTAAATGTAATAATAGAGTAAAATAATAAACGTAATAATAAAAATAGAGTAAAATAATAAACAATAAACATAATAATAATAATAATAATAATAATAATAATAACAACAGAGTAAAATAATAAATAACTTTGACTCAAGTATAAGCTGAGGGGGGCTTTTTCAGCCTTAAAAAGGGGCTGAAAAACTCAGCTTATACTTGAGTATATATGGTATTCATAAATGAAGATGTTAAAAGTTTACTTCGCTAGAGTGACATTTGTGGCTTTTTAATCTAACTGCTGGTCTAGAAAATAAGCCAGTTCTAGAACTGGAATAATGAAGATTGAATATGTGAACTAGTTTATTACCTTTCAATCAAATCCACTCCAAAAACCAACTTTATACTTTACTGATGTTATTGTTGTTATGTGCCTTCAAGTCAAGCTCAGCAATTCTATAATAAGGTAGCCTTGGCACAATTGTATTCAGGGAGGGCTGCCTTCTTCTGAGGCTGAGAAACTTGCCCAAGATCCCCCCTTTGCTTTCCATAGCTAAATTCAAACCCTGGCTTTCCCAAGTCATAATCAAATCACTAAACATTGTTGACCCTCACTATGAGGGCTATGTGCCCCTATTCAAGTAAATACTGGAGTTTCAAAATTTTGCAGTTTTGGTATTGCCCCACAGAACTGCAGTTCTGACATGGTTGCACCCAGCTGCTTTAGGACTGCATTTTCTGGAAGGAGTAAATATTTTTTTTAATTGTAAGTTAAAATGCTCCTGCTTGTAATCAAGAAATATTGCCTTTAATTGATCAGAAGCCCGAAACTTACTCTTGGTTTTCAATATCTCCAGCCTCTAAAGGTGTGGAATCCATAAAGAGAGATACTTTGCTTGAGGCCATTTTGGCATCAATGGTTGAGTGTGTAGAAATGAGGCTCTGGACAAGTTCATGGTTCGGTTTTACATCATCCTGAAAATTAAAAAAATGCAAAAACTATTTTCTAATAATCTGATTAACAATCATTTAATTGCATTATACTGGATACAAAAATAGCTGGGGAAAAAGAGGCTATTCTTCCTTCAGACAATTTTTTAAAATGTATCTGAATTTTTTTAAAAAAAATGCTTGCAGTCCTTTTCAACAATGTGATTGATTCCACTTGCAATTATCAATTGTAAAAACATAAAATGTAATGTACTGCTTTTAATTATAAGATGTTCCAAGATTTTTTTAAAGCACGGAGCACTGAACCACCTCAACAGGACAACTTTCTATCTTGTTTTTTCCTGAAAGAGTGATTAGAAAACTATTACAATCAACACAGAGAAAGATTAATCATCAGAATGTACTCTAGTTAATTTCTACATAAAAAAGGTAGTCTATGGACCTGTGCTGGTTCCACAGCAATCTGTGTTGAGTTCCTGAAGAACTCCAGAATCAAAGAGTAACAGAGTTGGAAAAGGCCATAGGGGCCATCCAGTCCAACTCCCTGCCATACAGGAAAAGCACAATCAATGCACCCCTGACAGATGTCCATCCACCCTCTGTTTAAAAGCCCCCAAGGAAGGAGCTTCCATTACACTCCAAGGCAGAGAGTTCAACTGCTGAACAGCTCATCTCACGGTCAAAAAGTTCTTCCTAATGTTCAGGTGGAATCTCCTTTCCTGTGATTTGAACCCATTGCTCCAAGTCCTAGTTTCCAATGCATCAGAAAACAAGCCTGCTCCCTCTTCCTTATAACAACTTTTCAAATATTTATACATGGTAATCATTTCTCCTCTCAACCTTTTCTTCTGTAGGCTAAATAAGCTCAGCTCTTTAAGTCGCTCCTCATAGGGCATGTGTTTCAGACCTCTAAAACAACTGTAGAAGTCCCTGTGATATTGGGAGGAAAAATGCTAGTCTTCAATATCAGACGGTTCGAGAAACACAGTCACTCCTTTTGACAAGCTAAAACCATTTCCACCATTCTAGTTTATCCAAAGACTATTCCTTTTGCCAGTCTATTCACACTCTTTGCCCCAGTATAATCAAAACTTGCTGAGGAGTGTAGCTTCATTCATTCTAGGTGCAAAATATTACATAGTATGGGAGACTTTCTCCAAAACAATTAGTTACATGCAACAAAACCTGACAAATTTAGCATTTATTTATTTATTTGCCATATTTATACTCTGCCTTTCTCAACCTCGTAGGGGACTCAAGGCAGCATACATATATAGGCAATGATTTGATGCCATGTAAACATACATACATTAAAACAGTCATTAAAAATAAATCAAACCTTAAAACACTTATTAAAATCACATTATCCAAAATCATAACCCATAGCATTGAAACCCAAGAGTGGTTAGAATTGATTTCTTCAAGAACCAATACTGGATTACCAGACAATGAATTAAGTCAAGAGCCTAAAATTCTTACCTCCTCCACTTGATGAGCATGACTTCCTCCAAGGTCAATATAAACTGCATCTTTGTCATATACTAAGCCTCCAACGCCTGACAGAGGGGCATAGATCAGCTTTTCCTTCTCATTTAAGGAACGTTTCTTTTGGTGCTCAGGAAGCGCACAAGGATCCGGCAGAAAACTGACGTCACTTATACTGAAATCCCCTACGCCTGATCAGAAAAGTATGCAAGTGAAAAAATACTATTAAAAATAACCATTTATGTATCAAAAACACCATGGCAGTAATTTCATGCCAGTGAAGCATGATATTAGCTAGATTTTCTGGCCTCATGGAAGCCTGGCGATCAAAACAACATTTGAATGTCAGATCGCAGACACTCAAGAGGCTTCTGGGGAGTGCAAATTTGCCAGTTGGGAAAGAAACATCCTTTTGAGATACAGAGCTATAGTGGGTTAAGAGGGCTCATCACAATGCTCCCCTTGATTTAAATGAGCATAATTAGATGTCAATAGGCTTTTGAGGGTGACTAAAATTGTACTGTCCTTTTTATAGTAGTTGGTGCTCTTAGGACCTGGTCCATGGAAATCTTTCTTGTTTCCTCCTGTTGTTTTTCTTGACTTTCTGGGCCACATGGCCATTCAGCCCAGAAACCACACAACACTTCAATGATTCCGGACATGAAAGCCTTCGACAATACATTCTGGGCTACATTTTCTTCCATTTTTAATAAAAATTAGATACAGTATACAAATATATGTATATTCCTTCAAGTATCATTTTCAAGTAATTCCTTCAAGTATCATTTTCAAGTAAGCTCCAAAGTCCAGAATGGTTTTTTAAACTTCCCACAAAAGAAGTCTGGATGTAAATGCCTTTATAAATAAATATTTTACTACTACTACTACTACTAATAATAATAATCTATATAAATAAAAATGTAATGTTCGTTTGTGGGATTAATAGAACTAAAAACCACTGGACGAATTGACACCAAATTTGGACAGAATACACCTATCAGGCCAATGAGTGACCGTCACTAAAAAAAACACTGAAAAACACAGCAGAAGGAACTTAAAAAGCCCAAAAACAAAAAAATACATTACAACGCATGCTCAAAACCACATATACACACAAACACACATATATACACAAATATATACACACACATATACACATATATACACACACAAAACACATAAACACAGACTGGGCCACAGCAACGCATGGCAGGGGACGGCTAGTAATCTATATAAATAAAAATGTAATGCTCGTTTGTGGGATTAACATAACTCAAAAACCACTGGATGAATTGACACCAAATTTGGACACAATACACATATCAGCCAACAAGTGACCATCACTCATAAAAACACTGAAAAACACAACAGAAGGGACTTAAACACCAAAAAACAAAAATTACATTACAACGCATGCCAAACCCATATATATATATATATATACACACACACACACATATATGCAACCACACATATACACATATACACAAATATATATACACACATATACACAGACAAAATACATATACATAGACTGGGCCACAGCAACGTGTGGCAGGAGACGGCTAGTAATAATAATAATACAGTAATAATAGAAGAAGTCTGGCTATTTTGCATGAGAAAATACTTCCAAATATTTTGTTTTTGCTGGAGTAGTGTAACAGCTAATGGTGGAGAACTAAAGAGTGGACATTTCCTGTTCAAATCCCACCTCAGCTGTTAAGTCACTGAGAAGCTTTGGGCAAGCAACGTACAGTGCAAATCTATACACATTAACAGTGCAAATCTATACACAGTCTCATTTTGCCCAATGGGACTTAGCTTGCAATGTTAATTACTCTATTCCAAACTACGGAGATGCCAATATTTACTTGACTTCTGGTAAACCCTTCTTTAAAATGGAAGCATTTTGTGACTGGAGAGATGGAATGCTGTATTATTGCCCCTGTCACATAGTTGACAAGAAGGAATTATGCATTTTAAAAGATTTCCGTTTGTGTTCCACTGACTCAAGGTGCAACCTTAGACTTTAAGACAGTCTAAGATTGTCTTTTGAGAATATTAAAACACAATAAAATATGAAAAAAAAATCTTATATCCAACCTGGCATGTGTATTTGGCTTTTGTTTTTCAAGTGGGCTCCTCTCAAGTAGCCATAAAGTGAAATCTTTCTGTCACATTTTGGATTAACTCTGATATCTTCTGGGTTTGTCAGATCTTCCATTCTATGGGATAGAAGGATATAATTTAGTGCTGAACTTCTTAGTTTTTCAGAAAAAACACAGCAGGAAAATTTGGCACACTACAATCTAATACCACAGTTACCTCTCACTCGCAATAGCTCCTAATTTACAACAGTGCCTTATCTTTAGCATGTGAAGGTTAATTTTACGCACTGCATCAAAATTTTAGGCACCGGGGCAACAGAAGACAAGACATAGATAATTACCAAGGAAGTTTAACTTCCACATTATTTTCTGCATAATAAAACAAAGAAATCACAGTAAACTCTCTCCTACAGCATTGACTTCAATGCTCTTTCAGTGGCTTAGGTTTTACAAAGAGATGGGAAATTATTGTTTTATCTCATATTACAAAGACTTGAGATATTGTGGTATCCTTTGCTTCAATGTGTTTTTCATTTCTCGGTTCTCTTTAAACATTTAAATAATTGTAATTTTAAAAATCAATGATGGGAACTAATAATCTACACTGGTGTGGCCTTGACATTAGTAGGACTTTAAACTACGGCCAGAGATGAGAATCATGTAGCTCTTCACGTGTTGTTAAATTTCAGCTTCTAGGCTTCCTCACCACTGGATACTGACAAGAAATGATGGGGGTTGCCATTCAACAACATCTGGAGAATGACATGATTCCCACTACTTATTCAAACTCATGATATCAAGCAGGTTATGTTTAAATCTTTCTCAAAAGTAGCATGTGAGCTGTTAACACTATGTAACACCATTTTTCTTCCGAGGTTATAAATGCCATTTCCTAATTGGTTCTATTATAAAAACATAGCAAAGGATTATTAAACTCTACAAAATGTGTTTGTATGGGACATCCCACAGAACATTTTGCTATAGTTTTTCAATTAATATCTCATATAATCTCAACCAATTCAACATAGTTTGTGGCAGCCACAAAAGGTTTCTGGAGTATAACAACTACTTTCAAAGTAAGTACTGCACAATTAAACAGGAAATAACACTTTCAAACCAGGAACAGAAAAAAAATTATATTGTGTTACATAGTATAATTTGTGTAGCCCAACTTTTTACCATCTGCCGTGTTACTTTAACCACACTGAAGATAATGGCTATTGACAGTTAAAATTTACATCTTCCCAGCTTACAGGAAATATAGTTCTTTAAACAGTTCATATACATGCAAAGACTTTATGCAACACAATATTTAGGGCGACCCATAGATTTGAAATATCTGTATTGGTTACCTGGTCAACATAATTCATTTTTGAAAGTCTGAAAACAAACTTGGCTGCCTCTATCGGGATAAACATTGGAAAGATCCAAAGCAATTTCACACTGGGTGCATACAATCAGAAATATTACAAATATAAATTACCTGTCTGCTAAAACATATGGATGAGATGTCTGCCATGTAAGGGGACGAAATTTCATAACAGAGATAAAGCGCCCCAGATTGTGGATTTCCTGTTTTTGATACTCTCCATGTACCATCCCAGAGAGATAGAATAATTTGGCACCCTAAATTCACAAATAAAAAAAGCATCTCAATGCTGTTGTTTTTCCAGTGTAGCTGGGATTTTCTTATCAAAGCATTCACATAGTCATGTGCATGCTTTAGCTTTCTACAAGAATAATAGCACATTATGATACTGAATATATAACCAAGTTTCCCTGAAAAGAGCAAACACAAGAACAAATCACAAAAGCATTGTTACTAAAATCCAGCATCCCCATGTCAAGTCCTGATCTCTCAACTGTCATATTTAGCAACACAGCCACATAGCATATTTATTTTGTCACCTGCTATGAGCAGGCAACATGAAGCAGCATAATGCTTATAACATAAAAAGCCATGTTTCCTCCAGTTCCTTGGTTTGCTGTGAAAGACAACCCATCTTGGGAAAACTTTAATTTATCTAAAGAAATTGATCTCTGTGTTTTAGTGTTTTGGTCTATAATGCTAAATGCAAGTCCAAAGCACATTCAAATAATGTGGGAAGTTGTCCCTTTCCCCTCTTTAAACACAGTTTGCGTATACAATAGTCCTGTAATATCATACCTGATAAACTTCAGTCCAGAACCTGTGCTTTAGCCTCTTTTTCGTCTTCTTAAGTTGCTTGTTATTTTTAAAGGTATCCAAGTGTGTAAGAATGCCCATTATTTTGGGAAAGCCATGCACCTGGCAAATGTTCAGAAATTCAAACGTTTCCATCTCAAATCCAAAACTAGCATCAATCAGCATCAAAACCTGAGAGAGAAATGACAAAAAAACCCAAAAAACAAATGGCTTGTAACAAATTCTCAGTCTAAGGAACTAATTCCAAACTGGGTTTTCAGAAGGTAGGTGTCATGCCACCAGATAAACCCTCACTAATTACGCCTAATCATGCCCTTTTAGTTAGGTGGGTTTCGCATTGTATATACAGTTCTGAAGAGGGTCATTTTAGATAGTCTTTTCCCCTTAACATTTAGAGCCTCCCTTAATAATAATAATAATAATAATAATAATAATAATAATAATAACAATAATAACAACACTTTATTTGTGCTGCCCCTTTAAGGATCTTCTGAGGGGTGGAGCCTCAGCCCTGAGCCTTCTGGCTTCTTGGGGAGACAGTTAGTGTGTTCTGTTAGCATAGTACTGGAAGGTAGAAAGTGAGAAGGATGGGAAGATCTACAAAACAGTATGTCACATCGGAGCTATATAGTAAAGTGAAGTAATATGTCACATTGGAACTATATAGTAAAATAATATGTCATGTTGGAGCTATATAGCAAAGCAACATCAAGTCCAGTTAAACATCAATAACATCTAAGAGACAAACAGACAACTACAAGTACCAGAAAAGATCCAAGAGCCAGAACTGTGTGCATACCCCAAGAACTTGCCTTTCCTTACAGAGACTTTATAGTAATACCCAGGAGGAAAAGAAGTTTAAAAAGGTTGTTTTTTTAATTACCAATATAGTTTCCAATCTGTTCCCTGTACCACAGTACCTTCCAAATTAATAATTAGTGCGGGAACAGAACAGTAGGATTTTGTGGGAAATTATAGAAAAATAAAATTATTTATAGAAAAGGCATCAAGTGAATCAAATTAAAAGTATAACCAATACCCCCTTCTTTCTTTTCAAATAAAACATATATAGTCAGTTCTCCACATTCACAGTTTGACATTTTGCTTCCTTTTTCCTGAACTTGTTAAAAACCCCTGTCCATTACAAACCCATGCAGTCATTTATTTCATATGTTTACAACTGAAGCTAAACTCCTTGCATGACATGCAGTTTTCAAAAGCTTATGACACATGAAATGTATGCAGCAAAGCAATTGAATGAATAGGACTCTCTTCCGAGTAATTGTATGAGACCACACAACAAAGCTCTTGTAGAGTTGGACAGATACCAACCCTACAATGTGAACAGCAATCACACACATCTCGGTATTAGCAGACTTTTTTTTCCAATGCAGGTTTTAGAGCTAGAAAACCTGCTAAAAACCTGTTCATCCAATAATGTACTAACTTACCAAATCAGCGATTTTAGCCAGGTCAATCATTGTATTAATGTCACATCCACATTCTATTATGGTTAGCCTACGTTTTTTACCTGTAAAGAAAAAGGAATGAGCACAAAACTGTATTGTCTAATACTATATATAGGGTAAAGATCATTTTTCAAAGCAGTAAAACCATATGTCCATGAAATAACGGTTTTCTGCTATTCTTATTTACTGCTTTTATATCCCGCCCCTCTCGCTCCAAAGGGGACTCAGGGCGGCTCACACAAAAAGCACAATTTGATTCTACATATAAACACAGAGTAAAACCAAATATGTCAATCTTAAAAACCAATTAATTAAAACAATGCAAACTCTGTTAAACTCTGATTATCAGAAAGAAAACCAAAACAGATCTGGCTTATTTTATTATTGTAAAAGTTTTGTATGTACATATAATTCATATGGTTATGTATAGCACCCATGCTCAATGAGAAGACATAACTATATTGGCTGGATTTTGCCCATAGCCCTGAATTCTATTGGGAAACAAAACTACAGTACATTCATTGTTGGATGAACTAAAAAAATCTTCTGTAAATCCCATGGATTCAATGAGTCTACTCTAGGTAGAACTATCAATAAAACTGGCCAACACACTTTGGTGCTTAAACTATTAGATCTGTTTCTGGGCATATGCGACTTGCTGATTCCAAAAACGGGACCAGTTTTCCTCTGTCAGCTGTAGTTTTTTAGATACGTAAGAAAATGTAACATACCAGTCTCCATCTGCTTTCCCATAAAGAAACATGATAATCATATCTAAGAAATTAGAGCTGGTGTAGCCTATCCAATGCAATTTTCTGAATCAGTGCATGAAATAACCCCAGAAACAGGCCTTTAAAACCAAGATACCAATAATTAATTTTAGTTGGGCTGTGTTGATATTAGTTTGGAAAATGTAATATATTCTCTGCTTTCAGTTTATCATGGGTACCTTTCTTTCATTTCCAATATTGTTTATTTCCCTCTAAAGCTAGAATGCACACTAGTTTCCTCAACTCTAAATAAAATAGCATCTCAGTGGATGGAGCCTCCTAGATTACATTGCTGGAAATAAAAGCTATTTACAATGGCTCGATTAATAAATTACACCAAATTATTATTAAGGAAGCTGAATTATGGTTTATCATGATGGCTGATAAACCATATAATTTAGCCAATATGCTAGAATCAGCAGGCATGGTTGAAAAATGAATTTGCAATTTACAGTTTGTGCTAATTACACTTCGGTATGATTTCTGAGAGAACAAAACAAGTTACAACTACAGTTTCAGCTCTTGAAGCAATAAGACTATAGGGAAAAGAATAAACTTACAAAACAAAAGCAATCGATCCAAAACTTTGCTCAACTGTTCTACATGCAGAAGTTCAAATAATGGTGATTAAGCTTATAAACTCCAGGGAGTATTACGTATGCTTTTGCGCAATTGAAGACAAGAATAAATGCAAAATGCAAACTTGTATGTGAACTTCTATTCTTACCTGAGACAATAGTTACAGGACCCCGGATTTCAACTAACTTCTGCCTTGTGAAATTCCTAATGAGACATTTGATCAGGGTACTCTTTCCAACCTTTGGAGGGCCAACCACCACCACCACCACTGGGAGAGGTTCTAGTGGAGCACGATCAACCACAGGGATATGATGCTTTTTTGTCTTCAAATCCTGGGTCCTGATTTTTTAAAACAAAATAAAATTATTTTAAAATAGCTGCTATTAACAAATGAAAGCACCATAACTAGTGCCAAGCTCTCTCGTGGATATGACAACAGTAGGAGAATACAGTTACAGAGGCATGTGAAGAGATTTCCCAACATAATCAAAACCCAAGTCATGCAGAGTTTTTAAAGTCAAGGCCAATATTTTAAATTGGGTTTACCAGAAAGACTAAAAGGCATTGCAGCTGTCTTATAAAAGTGAAATCCAAGTTAAGCATCCCTTATCTGAAATATTTGAAAACAGAAGTATTTCGGATTTGTTTCAAATTTTGGAATACCTGTATTTGCATACATGAACATTGTGCGATTTCTTGGAAATGGGAACCAAGTCAAAACACAACATTCCTTTTATAAAGCGTCTCATATATACACTTTATAAACCTGGTTCTCCCAGATGTTGGGTGACAACTCACAGCAAATCTGGTGTTGAGGATTGTGAGAAGCTGCAGTCTAGCAACATCTGGAGGGCCTTAAGCTACCCATCCCTCCTTCAAACTTAAACATTAAATTCTGCTCAGGGAGAGAGAGCGGTCTATAAACAAAGTATTATTATTATTTCTACACTTTAGTTGTCCAAAAAATAATACAGATTGAGTATCCCTTATCAGAAAGGCTTGGGCTAAGAAATGTTCCTTATTTCAGACCCCCCCCCCTCCCCCCCGATTTTGAAATACTAGCATTTTCATAATGAAATATCTTGGAGATAGGAACCAAGTCTAAACACAGTTTCATTTATGTTCCATATAACCTAAAAATGCCATAAGAGCCCAAAATGCTAACTGAATATCAGTTACATTTGGCTCTACATCACATCTCATACTACACAGAAATTACATGAAAATTCTACAAAGCACTATGAGAAACACTGTGTCACAATGTATTGTCGAAGGCTTTCATGGCTGGAATCACTAGGTTCTTGTGGGTTTTTTCGGGCTATAGGGCCATGTTCTAGAGGCATTTCTCCTGACGTTTTGCCTGCATCACTACTTCACCACCGCTGAGGATGCTTGCCATAGATGCAAGCAAAACGTCAGGAGAAATGCCTCTAGAACATGGCCCTATAGCCCGAAAAAACCCACAAGAACCTACTGTGTCACAATGACTACACTGCTAGCCTTGGGTGATGGGAGCCTGAAATGTTACCAGGGGCAGTGGTAGCATAACAAAATATAGTTGCAAAATACCTGTGGAATGTTCTGGCCATCCGCACTGCAGACTGGACTGCAAAAGCCTTTGGGTTTCTTTTCCGGGCATCTTCCTCATCTTCAAGTCCTAAGTCTTTCAAGTGACGCTTCTGTTTCTTCCCAGCCTTTGGTCCACTGTGCCTCTTGCTATGCCGTTTCTTGTTATTTTCCTCCATGCTTCTTCTCAGTGGTCAGCTATCTCCACAGCCAACAGGAGAATCAATGTCCTTCCCAATACCAGATAAACAAAAATGTACTGTATAGCCTGTTATTTTCATATGTGTGAGAAGCCAAATCCTATTAACAATTATTAACACCAACACATTCAGGGGGTTGCACTGGATGGCCCTTGTGGTCACTCCCAATTCAATATTCTATGTTAGCCTTGGGTACTTGGTGTTGGACACGAGTTTCCCTATTTTGAGAAGCAACCTAGCAGGACACTCCTGGTATCAAGAGCTACTGAGAATTCCAGCAAAACCAACACATTCATAGAATCATAGAATCAAAGAGTTGGGTTCCTGGTGAAGGCTACCTATCAATGGGACCAATGTCATTTCAGTTCTGTAGCTATCACTTAGAAGTTTCTGATGTAATCATTAGCATGCAAGCAAAAGTGCACAAATTAACTGTATCTGTGTGACTATATAACAACAACAACAACAACAACAACAACAACTTTTATTTTTATACTCCGCCACCATCTCCCCAAGGGGACTCAGGGCAGCTTACAAAGAGACAAACCCAAAGATCACAGATAAAAACAAACATATTAAAATCAATCAATTAAAAACATAACACAATCACAAAGCAACATCATAAAAAAGATATCATGGCTGAAACAAAAATCGAAGCTGGATTTGAGCTCAAGTCAGTGCAATGATTACTAAGTAGAGCCAAGGGAAAGTGCAAAAATTCAAATGGACAAGGCTAGAGGGAATATCCTTAGCAGTAAAGTCTCGAGGTTCCCGGAAGGAGGGGTGAACTAAAGTGCAGGAGCTTAGACAGGGTTGAGCCAGTTCTCTGGTGAACTGCCCAATCAAAGACACAATGGAACATCCAAGTTTTTAAGTCCTTGCAGAAACTAGACAAGGTGGGTGCCTGTCTGCTCTCCCTAGGGAGGGAGTTCCAGAGCCAGGGGGCCACCACCAAGAAGGCCCTCTCCCTTGTCCCCACCAACCATGCTTGAGATGGAGGCAGAAACAAGAGAGGAACCTCCCTGGTTGATCTTAGGGTGTTGCTGATTTGTAGGGGAAGATGTGATCACGAAGATAGGCAGGTCCCGAACCGTTTAAGGCTTTGTAGGTGATAACATGCACCTTGAATTGGGACCGGAAACTTATTGGAAGCCAGGGGAGCTGTTTAAATAGGGGGATTGACTGCTCCCTGTAACAAGTTCCCATTAGCAACCTGGCCATCGATCTTTGGACCAACTGCAGTTTCCGGGCCGTATTCAAAGGCAGCCCCATGTAGAGTGTGTTACGGTAGTCCAACCTAGAGGTAACTTGGTCATGGATTATATGAGTCTACACTACCATATGACCCATTTAAAAGCAGATAATCTGGATTTTATCTGGCAGTGTAGAATGGGGCAAAGATGGCTGTATATCTCCAAATAAGAATACAACAAAGTAAACTATTTGAGAAATAAGGGGTGAAAAAACGGTTTGCATTTTTGTGGGAGGAAATAGGTTAGAAATAACTAAAAAATGGAAAGGCTTGTAGAAATCTAGATATGTGGAGGCATTATATTTCAGGATCTGATCCCAATTTATCTTTTTATCTGGCGGTGTAGACTCATATAATCCAGTTCAAAGCAGATAACCTGGGATCAGATCCTGGGCTATTTATAAGATCTGGATCTATTTATAAGGCCCCTCCACACTGTCTTTATATTCCAGGATCTGACCTTAAGTCCAGTTGTGTCCGACTCTGGGTGTTGGTGCTCATCTCTGTTTCTAAACCGAAGAGCCAGTGTTGTCCGTAGACACCTCCAAGGTCATGTCGCTGGCATGACTACATGGAGCACCATTACCTTCCTGCTGGAGCGGTACCTATTGATCTACTCACATTTGCATGTTTTTGAACTGCTAGGTTGGCATAAGCTGGGGCTGATAGAGGAAGCTCATGCTGCTCCCTGGATCCAGACCTACGACCTTTCGGTGAACAAGATCAGCAGTTCTGCAGTTTAACCCACTGCGCCACCGGGGACACTCTATATATCAATGGAGACTAATACAGCAGCTTAACGTCCTTTTTTAAAATGCGTGCCATTCAGTCGGTTGAAGACGTAGCAGAGCGCTAGTGGTCTTGTTTGAGAGGAGGGAGCATAAAGTTTTGTCCTGACACATTTCTGTCACCATCATGCGTTGGAACAGTGAGGAGTGTGCTTTTGCTGTTGAGGCCTACTTTTCGAACAGATTTGGAGTGGTCAACCTGCTCTCCAGATTTGGCCCCTTGTGATATTTTTCTATGGGGTTTTTTGAAATCCCGTGTTTATGTGAACCATCCAAGGACCCTACAAGATTTGAAGACCAATATCCAGAAAGAAATTGCCAACATAACGCCTGCTATGCTGGCAAGAGTCATGACAAACGCCAGAAATTGGTTTACTCAGTGTATGGAGAATGGGGGATGTCACCTACCTAATTTGAACTTCAAAACTACGTAAAACAAAACTTTAGGTATGTGCCTACATTGTGTATGTGTATACATAAAAAATTCTGATTCATACAATGGGTTTTATTAAGTTTTGAAAAACCGAAGTTATGCTGCCTCACCCTGTATAATACAGTTCAAAGAAGATAACCTGGGATCAGATCCTGGGCTATAAGTACAGTGTAGAAGGAGTCTATATATGCACAGAGACCCCGTCTCCCCAAAAATCTCGGCAGGTTAAACAAATCAAGGCAGCCTTGCAAATGGAGGTAAGCCCTGCTCTATTCGTGGATGAGAATAGCAGAGCCTCAGGCCAGGCCTCAGATTTAGGTCAGCCACACATTGCCAGGTATTGGGGGGCCTTCCAGGCAGGTTTTCTGTTTGTTCCAGATTATTTGGCAGTGGGGACTCATATAATCCAGTTTAAAGCAGAAAACTAGGGGTATAGGGTCTGTCTGGAGGGGTCCTGGGGCGAATCCTGATCCTCGTGACACCCCACCAACCTCGCCCCGCATTGCCAAGGTTCGGCCTCCCTAAACGTACCTGTCCTCGCCGAGCCCTCTGACTCCATCGGCAGAGCAAGGACCAGGCAAGCAGGCAGCGTGTCTGGGCGTCCCGTCTCCCACTTCCGTCCTCCCGGAAACAGCAACCCGAAATATTTTGTTCCGCCGGGGGGGAAAGCAGTGCTTGCTACACCGAAAGGAAACCATGGCAACCGAGCGCCGAGGGGAAACCATGGCAACCGAATGTTGACTTTTGTTTCCTAGGCGGAGCAGAGAGCCTGTAGGACACCAAAGGGAGACTGTGTAAGCCAAGGCAAAGCGCGGTCCGTGTACAACTTCTTTCCCCCGGAAACAACAGCCTGGGATGTTTGCTCCGATGACGAGGAAAGGAGGAAGGGAGACGGGAAACTCAGGCCCTGTCTACAGTCATATAATCCAGATTATCAAACCAAATGATCCAGACTTATCTGCTTTGAACTGGATCGTGTGAGTCTACACGGCCATGCAATCCAGTTCATGGCAAATAACCTGGATTTTACTTGGCTTACTTACTTAGGCGATCCCTCGTTGGACGAGTAAGATGGTCTTCCTTGATGACTATTCTTGTGGGTTTGTAGGTGGCTGTGGAGCCCTATTCTTGACCCGCATCTTCTCCCACGGTGAAGGCATTGGTTTCCAGGTGGAAGGCGGTCCCGGTCGGGGTTGGCTTAACACGCCTTCCTCCTTCACCCTCCACCCGTGCCTCCTCGAATTCTGCAGCACTGCTGGTCACAGCTGACCTCCAGCTGGAGCGCTCAAGGGCCAGGGCTTCCCAGTTCTCTGTGTCTATGCCAGAGATTTTGAGGTTGGCTTTCAGGCCATCTTTAAATCTCTTTTCCTCTCCACCAACGTTCCGTTTTCCGTTCTTAAGTTCGGAGTAGAGCAACTGCTTTGGAGATGGTGGTCGGGCATCTGGACAACGTGGCCGGTCCAGCGGAGTTGATGGCAGAGGACCATCGCTTCAATGCTGGTGGTCTTTGCTTCTTCTTTGTCCGCTTGTCTTCCCAAGAGATTTGCAGGATTTTCCGGAGGCAGCGCTGATGGAATCGTTCCAGGAGTTGCATGTGACGTCTGTAGACAGTCCACGTTTCGCAGGCATATAGCAGGGTTGGGAGGACAATAGCTTTATAGACAAGCACCTTGGTATCCCTACAGATGTCCCGGTCCCGGTCCTGCTTCATTCGGGGAAATGCTGCACTCGCAGAGCTCAGGTGGTGTTGTATTTCGGTGTCGATTGACTTTGGTGGAGAGGTGGCTACCAAGGTAGCAGAAATGGTCAACATTTTCTAATGTTACACCATTAAGTTGTATCTCTGGCATTGGAGAGGGAATGGCTGGTGACTGCTGGAAGAGCACTTTGGTTTTCTCGATGTTCAGTGACAGGCCAAGCTTCGTGTATGCTTCTGCGAAGGTTATTAGAGTGGCTTGTAGATCTTCTTCTGAATGCACACAGACGACATTGTCATCAGCATACTGGAGTTCTATAACAGATGTTGTTGTAACCTTGGTTTTGGCGTTCAGTCTGCTGAGGTTAAACAGCTTACCTGGCAGTGTAGAAGGGACCTCAGTCCTTCTGTGCCTTATTCAGCTTCATGGGCCATGCAATAGCTTTCGCTATGAGTCAGTTTCAGGCCAATGGAAATCCCGTTCACTGTGTTACTGTGAGTTTTTCAGGCTTTATGGCCATGTTCCAGTAGGCATTCTCTCCTGGCGTTTCGCCTTCATCTATGGCAGGCATCCTCCGAGATTTGTTCAGAGGTCTGTGAGAATGAGGCAAGTGGTGTGTGTATGTGTCTATCTATCTTATCTACCTGTGGACTGCCCAGGATGGGAGAAAGAACTCTTGTGTGTTGGAAGCAAGTGTGAATGTTGCAGTTAGCCAGACTGAGTAACAAATGAGTAGCCTTGCAACTGCAAAGCCAAGATGTTGCTGCCCAGGGGTATCCTTTGTTTGGGAGGTGTTAACTGGCACTTGATTGTTTGCTGTCTGTTGTTGAGTGTTGTTCTTTTTTTTAACTGTTTTGATTCTGGTGTTTTTTTAATTCTGGTAACCAGATTTTCTTGATAAAATAGTGAAGAGTAGAGACATTGGCAATGAAGATCTGCACAGTTAAAGCAATGGTATTCCCCATAGTCACCTACAGATGTGAGAGCTGGACCCTAGGGAAGGCTGAGCGAAGGAAGATAGGTGCTTTTGAATTGTAGTATTGGAGGAAAGTTCTGAGCATGCCTTGGACAGCGAGAAAATCCAACCAGTCCATACTTCAGGAAATAAAGCCCGACTGCTCACTGGAGGAAAGATGAAGTATTTTGGCCACATCATGAGAAGACAGGAAAGCTGAGAGAAGACAATGATTCTGGGGAAAATGGAAGGAAAAAGGAAGAGGGGCTGACCAAGGGCAAGATGGATGGCATCCTTGAAGTGACTGGCTTGATCTTGAAGGAACTGGCGGTGGTGACAGCCGACAGGGAGCTCTGGGGTGGGCTGGTCCATGAGGTCATGAAGAATTGGAAGCGACTGAACAAATGAACAACAATAACAACAACCAGATTTTGTTCATTTGCATGGTTTCCTCTTTCTATTGAAATTGTCCACAGCTGTTTTGAGCCCATAAATTGTAGAGAAGGTAAGGTTCCTTACAGATATACAAGCTCTGCTTGTTAACAAAGCCATATTGGGCCTTTAATGCACCCAGTTGCTTAAAAAAATCCCTTTCTGATCTAGAATGGTGTTCTCTCCTCACATACTAAGAAGGGAAACTTCTGTTACAACCATTGCCACCCTCTTCACTAAATATGTCCCTCACAGCTGCCTTGCACTCCATGCTATAGACAGGACAAGATTGAGGAAACGCACCATTCCTTCAGGCCTCCTTATGCATTTGCCAACTTGGTCCCTTTATAGAGATCTGAGAAGCACTGCTCAACCCATCTTGAGGAAATTGCACTACTACAGACTTGTATTTCGATATGCTGGAGGACGTATTTTTGTCTTCCAAAGTTCCAAGAAATCAACTCCTCCTGGTGATCTTAAATGTGTTTACGCTAGGCAATACTAAGCATGTTTCCTGAGAAGCCAAATTAATTGAGTTAAATGGTTAAAATGGAGAAGGAAAGCTAAGGCTAGAAAAAATAAAAAGAACAGGGTTGTGTATGTGGTTCATCCTGTAGAGTAAAAAGATAAATGATCTGTTGGAAGAGCGAGAGCTTGGCATACTGGGGAGGACAGGTGAGGGACTGTTTGCGGTTAGTTAAGGCAGTTAAGTTCAGCTAGGATTAGGAAGACACAAAGAGTTAGCGGGATGTGTTAGCGTTAACTAGGGTTCCGATGAGTTAAATAAGAAACAACAAGGACTGAGCCTTGAAATTCAGTAACCATAACCTTTTGAAGACATTTGCTTTAGCTGTAAGCTAAGGTTGGTTTAAAGTTTGAACTGGTTGAAAATATCCCCTCTCCCCAAAAATAAAAATCCTAAAAGTAAAGTTGGATTTTGACAGTTTATATAAGGTACAAGATCTATATAAATAAAAATGTAATGTTCGTTTGTTGGATTAACATAATTCAAAAATCACTGTATGAATTGACACCAAATTTGGACACAATACACCTATCAGACCAATGAGTGACCATCACTCATAAAACACTGAAAAACACAGTAGAAGAGACTTAAAAAGCCAATTTAAAAAAATACATTACAACGCATGTGCAAAACCACATGTATATAACACAAAACACATACACAGACTGGGCCACAGCAACGCATGGTGTGATAAGATTATTGTAAAACAGTCCCAAACACTGGTCACCAATTGTAAAATATTATAGTTTAAATTCAATTAAATGTTTGGAGGCTGCTGAGATTTTGCTACCAACACACTGTATTCTGTGGTAATGTTCTGTGATCACTGGCTACCACCATACTTAAAAGGAAAGTTTAGCTTCTGGTTTGGCAAGAGGTTTTTAGTAGCTTGAATGTGGTGTATTAGCACTTAAGGCTCTGAACTCTGAGGTGAATATCACTGAAATTCTTTTAAATACATGCCAATCTTAAACTCTATTTCTCTAAAACTGCTATGGAACTATTTCACATAGAGGCATACTTGAGACAGTTGTTGTTTAACAAAAGAACAAAGTTGTTTATTTGTGTGAACTTCAACAATACAGACACTTAAGCTTAACGGTTGCAATAATGAACTGGAATGTATGGTTACTTTAAAACAGTTCAATACTTAGTTCCAGACACAATTCTTCACTCCCTCCTTCAGGAAACCAGCAGGCTTCCCTCTGACTAGTATTCCTAAAACTCCAGACAGTCCTTTCCCTTGGATCTATCTATTCTCTATATCAGCTATTCTTCCCAATAGTTATCTCTACTAACTGACCAACTTTGGCTTCTATGACTTCTCTTCTCCTAACTCTCCCAAAACCTAACCTTCTTCTTCAATCCTCAGACCCTGACTCTCTTCTTCGACACACAGATCCTGACTGAGCTGCCAGATTTTAAAAMCCCCTTCTACATTCAATTTTTTCTGCACTCAAGCTAAGCTCCGCCCACTCTCTCCCAGCCWATTACAAAGCTTCTCCACATTTCCCTCCAGGCTGCTCCTAAGCTCCGCCCCCTCTAGGAAATGGGTACTCTAAGATGGCTGCCTCCATGCACCATTTCACAAAATGGCTGCCTAAATTCCTAGGCCTACTTCCTGAGCTTTTCCCTGGCCTAAAGGTAGGCAATTCATCACACATGGCAAGGGTGTRTRTRTATATATATATATATATATATATATATATATATACACACCCTTGCCATCTTATATATATATAAGATGGGACTTGAGCTAGTTCCATAGGCCTTTCCTTATTCAGAGCTCTCATCCCTCATCCAGTCTCAGAAGAAGGGAGAGAATTAAAACAAGTCTGCCTCTATTATTCCACAGAAGCCATCTCTGATAAACTTCTGTTTCTTTACAGGTGCCATCCAGCTGCCATTCCAGCAGGCTGAATTCCGAATCTTAGAACATGGGAGCCAAGGAAAGGACTGTCCTGCTCCTTTTTCATGGATCAGTAAGTGGCTCTGAAAGCC